CTGATGTAAGAGAGGTTAGTGGGGAGAGTGGGCCCCGAATTTAAAAGCGCGAAGACGCCGTGTATTCTTTTTTTGAGCTTAGCCTTCGATGTTATGAAACAAACGCAAGGCGGACATGGCATATCGCTCTCGGGCCCACAGACATCCGTCATCCCCCGCACACCCGCCGCACACCCGCCGCCCCCGCACGCGCCCCACCCCGGCCGGGAGAAAGGGGAGTGACAGTTTGGGATTGAAAGTCGAGATACCTCGCACTCCATGTGCGAGAACGCAGGGTAAATGTAAGCCGGATGGCTCACAGGCCACCTCTTGCGCCCCGAGCTTACCATCTACCGCACTGAACACTGCTGCCCCCTCGCTCCCAACCCATCCATCCACCTCGCCGCGAGGCGCCGCGCAATCTCGGGCGATCTCGGGCTATCTGGGAGCTCCACGCCACGCCCCCCCCCCCGCCCCCGCCGCCGTGCCACGCTATCTCGGGCGATCTCGGAGCGTCGCTCGCGCGGCGGCACACCTGCTCAAAAAAGGAAGGGCCCGGTTGGAGCCACGGGGTCACAGACTAGTCTTTTTTTGCTTGGCCGGAGTGCAGGAGCAGCAGGGACGGCGCGGGTTGCAGGGGGCGTTCTTCTTTCTTTGCCTTCTCCAGAGCGCCACCCAGGGCTACTGAGATTTCGCGTCAACCGGCGGGCACCTTGCACACACACATGCATATGTTGATGTCCAGTTGATGTCCAGCGCGGCCGAGCCGCACGTGGCCGCGGTGTTGCGAGGCGACGAAGCGGCGGTGCGTTCGTGGCTCGAGAGAGGCGGGCGAGCAAATACCACGCGCGAGCATGGCAAAGCAAGCAACGTTACCCTGCTGATGGACGCCGCCATGATGGCTCGATCGCTGCAGAGGCTAAGTGTAGAGCGACCCTCTAGCCCTACTACCCAACCATTCTTGGAGCGCTCTACAAAGGTAAGGTAAATTTCTCCACACACACAAAGTGGTGGGGCAAGGCGGGGCGACCCTCGCATCTCCACACCCGGACACGGGCAGGAGCCCCACGGCATTCAAAGTGCTAGCACTGGCCCGGTGCACGTGGGTGAGCAGCCTGCCCCTCTCTCCCGACAAACCACAAATCGCACTCTACTCTCTAGCCGTCCCCTAAATGGCTAAAATACATAGTTATAGACAATCTAAGACAATCAAGAACACATTTGACATATAAAGCCGGAGGTGTGGCTTGAGCCTGTTGTTCATCTTCATGACCGGCACGGTGCCGGTTCATGTTAGATGTTTCATGACGATATGTGTGTTTCACTTGCTCACCCCCATCGACGCCTCTCCGAGGCGACGCGCTCGAACAGTCTGACCCCATCCTCTAGAGCGAGAGTGCGAGCCTCACTCAACGCGGCGCGGGGGTCGGCGGCACCAACCGACGCAGCCGCTCGTCTGCCGACGCGCCGCCCGCGGCGGCCTGTCGCCCGACACGGGCCAAGAGCGGGGCCGAATCGCGCAGCACTTGC